GGAATAAAGTACCTACTTTTTACGTACGCCCAGGCAAATTCCTAGCAAAAGGACATGCGAATAGTCTGCTTTGCGCGGATCTAGAGGCCACTTTGGCGCAATCATACCATCCCCTAATGGGGCAGGCAGGCAGGCAGGCAGGCGGGCAGGCATTATTAGTTTTCGTGACTTGTCAGTGTTTTATGTCTGGTGGTTCACCGGTTTCTCCTGGCAAAAAGAAGCAAGCCTACTTCCAGCAAGTCTCCCACGTAAGGTCTATTTCTGAGTATGCTAGCTTTGACGAAAAATACTGGTCAATGTTAATATTTCCGCTCGAGACCGAGAATACAACGAACCCGTGCCTCAGTGGTTAGAGTGCTGTGGCGCTTTAGAGTGCATGTGGCGCTTTAGAATGCATATGGCTTTAGAGTGCATGTGGCGCTTTTGAACCTCGACTGATGCAAGATCTGCGCATGAATACTGCTAGCTGATCAGGGCTTATAAGCCAGAATTGGTCATCCCAGTCTCCCTTGTTTTTGTCAGTAATGCTCCCCTACCTATGGTCTATCTTCCAAAGCTAATCACTCACACTAAGTCTCTCAGTATTTTCATTACCACGTTGAGTAATAAACTTTCAGTCTTACGGTGGTGGTAACACACTTTACTTGGTGTATCTTTTCATCATCATGTGGCTGTTACCTATTCGAATTGATACAGCTTTAGGCAGAACCTGTGAGGTGCCAGATTCATTCTTGGGGGCAACTCAGATATTCTGAAACAGGCGTAGTTAAGCGAGACAATGCTTTCTATTAATGCAGAAAGAACCTATAGGGAAGGACAAAGTGACTGCACATTGCCGGCGAAAACACGAGAGACCGGATCGGCCATTTCTGGCTCATTCACCGTCATCACCATCCATACCGGCTAACAAGGTACCGGTGGGTCAATCTTTAGAGCATTACCAATCAAGAAGCAATTGAGAAGAAGACGACTGGGTCGAGACCCGGTCACACATTTAAGTTGGATGAGGTCAAAATTCTTGCAAAAGGTGAAAATCGGGTGAGATGACAATTACTTGAGTAACGGGCCCCCAATTCATAAACAATTGCAACGATTTTCCCAATCCATATTCGGTGCTGAGACTCAATTTGGCCAAAGCAAGTCGCCACTTGGGGAACGAACAGGCCACCGCGTCATCCTACGCCAACATCGGAGGGCCAGCTGGTCGGGCAATCATCACGCCCGAGTCCACCAGGCGTGATGAAAGTTCAGCAGGTCAGAGTCCGCATGCCGTTCAACAAAGTATCAAGACGCAAGAAGGCAATTACCGTTAACTGTCGTTGCACGTTTGTAGTAATGACTGTATCCTATAAATACTGCAACCTCCTGTGCATACGCTACCCGTA